TAGGTATGGGCATGGCATGAGGCACTAATGCCTGGCATAGTGCCAATTTGCCTGGCATGGGCATTTGCAGAACCCTACTTACAACTAATAACAAACAAACTAACTATATCTCTATTATATACAACAACCATCCTCTTAACCTTCATTTATCAAACAAACTATTCAAATTTCTTGGATATTTGTTTACACTTAATAACAAACAAGCTAAACAAACCAAACTTATTACTGCAGAATCATTACACCTTGTTAAAATTGTAAGTACCAAACAAATTACTAATACACATACATGTTACATTATTAATACTATCATTATTCCTACAATTGAATACCAACTACATAACATTGTTCTTAATCAATACATATGTAATAAAATGCTTACAAGTCATATAGGACTTGTTAAAAGTAAAGCCAAACTTAGTTGCACAATTCCTACCAGCATATTACTTCATTCTTAGCTATATAATATCTGTAACATATAGGATATACAACTACAACATCATATTACAAACTTTACCAAGAGACTTAATTCTTTTAATCTATTAGGAATAAGTACTCACATTAGGCTCTAGCAACTTCAGAACAACTTGTGGTCATCTACTAATATTCTGATACATAATAATCCTATCATTAATAGGTCTAACAAACATACTGTTAACTTTAAAATTATTTAACTTTTTAACTATCTTTGTATTACATTTTCATCTAACCCATTATATAATATTCCATACATCATTTAAGAAGGATCTATTTCACTTGAATTATTACTTTTATCATATCCAAAATACTCAACTTTCAAAAAACAACTTAGATACTACTGTATTTTCTACTTAGATCAACTAACTACATTTGATAACTCATGCTTCTTAGACTAGAAACACATATCTACACATATAAACAAAATTCCTAAAGGCAAACAGCCACTCTGGTTTAATTATCTAGAAGACCAAACTACAAGTTATTCATATAATTGCACTCTTTATCAACACCTACACTTACCTAATACAAACTACTACAGTTATTCAACTGGACACTTTTCTTTAAGGAAAAAACCATGGCTTATTACAGTACTTGATGATCAAATCATTACTGCCAAAGCCAGAAGACAGTTCTCTTCTTCAGGAACTATCCTTATTACTTATTGGCAATGCCATATAAAACAACAATTTACTTGTTTATATCCACTTTCACCAATTCAATCACAAATATGTCTAGGTTGCTCTCTCAATTCTTACAAAATTGCCAACAAATGCACAATCAGCATTCCTATCAATCTCTCTTTTAGATTCTTTGGTCGAGTCAATACATATAACAAAACCCTTAACTTTAATGCTAACCATCTTGATCTTATGTACACTATTGCAATCAACATCCTATTCAAATTCCTAATCCCCCTAATATTAACATTACAACATACTTAATTCCAATAATATTTGAATTCAGTACCTTAACAAACAACCTTCAACAAATTGCTAACTACAATGCACAACTATCAGAACTTCATTTTTAAACAGATGGCTCTGTAATCAACCTGGGTACCTCACAATGCTTTATGGGCATTAGATGGGTCCAAATTTTAAACAACAATATAATACATACTTTCTAAGCCCAAATAAGATACTGGTCTTGCTTATTTAAAGCTGAGCTTACTGCTATTCTAACAGCCCTGATTACTGCTTCTAGAAACTGTACTATATATATATATACTGACTCACAGTCTGTAATCTCTAAATATTACAGTCTTTCAAATTCAGCCTATACTTCATCTTACACATATACATCATACTTCTTATTATGAAATACACTTATCAACTTTGTCAAATCATACAATATCTATATTATTTTCCACAATGTTACTGCCTATTAGGATGATCAGTACAACAACCTTGCAGACCAACTCACACACAGCCACTACAATCTGCCATATCTTACCTTTATGCCCTACAATATTTACAACCCTGCATATACTTTAAACCTTGAAAACTTTCCTTTAGAATTACCTACTCATCATAGTATCTATACAATATGTCATGCACATATTTATGCATTATGGATTACACAACACTGCTTTCAAAAATGGGACAAAATCCTTAATCAAGTTAATTGGCAAGCTACCTGGCTATACATCAACAATAATCAAAAGATCTCAAACTTCTTGCACAGCTTTCAGTCCTCTACTCTTAAATCCTTTAGAATCAAAATTCTACTAGATAATCTTTCTATTTCATACATCCTACATAAATAAAATTACTCATACTCACCTATCTATCACCAATGTCATCAAATTAGTTTTCATCTTCACTGGACAACCTGTTCATCTAATCAATTGCTACACAGCCTTATAGACATTTCATTACAATATACTATAAACACTAAAACATTTAATACCACTTCAAATACTATAACCAATTTATACAACCAAATCAAGCTGTTGAGTAGTATGACTATTCACAGTATACCAGATTTACCTTCAATCTTTTCAACTCTAATAGGTCTCATACCAAATGAACTCATTGACATTATTACAAACCTGTCATCCAAAAAAGTAGCTATAACATTTGTTATTAAGTTCTTACTTTACCTTAATCAACAAATTTACCATAAAATCTGAATTCCATATTGTATCTCAAGATCTACAGCCCAAACCTCTGAATATAACACACCTTCAAATGCTGTCTTACTTTTATCACATTCCCTTCTACTCAATTCTATTAGGTTAAAAATAAACTCTTGGTATATCCAATAAATTAAATATCAAACTAATCTTCTATACATAATCACTAACACTCAAATCTAGGTAAGCCTTGGTCACTTCGGTTGGTTTAAGTCGCAGATAAATTAGTCTAAGCTTCTATTCTTTCTATAATATTTTAAAAGCAGAATTGTACTTTATGTAAAATCTCAATTAAATATTCAATAAAGATAGAGGCATGGCCTCACCATTAATATTAAAAAAAAAAAAAAAAAAAAAAAAAAAAGCTAACTTTGATCTCCTTCTTTAACAGTTAGTTGACAAATGTGAAGTTCTTACATGAAAGTGAGCTCTAAAAGAAGCCCTAGAATTCTTGCTAGAAAGTAATAATAAAAAAAAAAAAGTAAAGCATTTGATTACTATAAGGAGTTAGCCAAGATAAATAATGTAAAAAACATGATCGAGCAAAAGAAAAAAGACAACATACTTGAAAGACTTGATGAAGACAATGACAACAGAAATGATGATAAAATCAAAGTCAAAAGGATAACTATAATTTCTTTGTTTATTACCAAGAATCAGTAGAAATTAGACATATTGATGGAGCATATAAAGTTGGACATTACTATGGAAATGAAATTGAAACTAAAAAGGATAGCTGTCAAGCATTTAATGACTATAATGATAATGACAATAATGATGGAAAGACAATTGTTTCTGATAAAGAAAGTCAAAGTCTCGAGTTGTTAAATTTTGAAAAGCTTGAGGACACCTGTGATGATTGGCATAAAAGAGTAAAAAAATTTAAAATGTTAATAAAAAAAACAGAAAAATCAAAAAACTTTGAAGAAACCTATTTGAAAACACATGACCAATAACAAATAATACAAAAAGAAAAGCTATTACAAAGATATTGAAACTGACCTCCAAAGGAGTGATCCCTGTATTAAATAATAGACCTAATACAGAAAAAAGAGTATTGGCATTAGAGATGAAACAAGAAATCATTAACCAAATAAACAAGAGAATAACCTAGTACTTATCACTGCTTTGATTAGCCTCAAAGGCTTTTGATCCTAAAGAAAAAGGTTCCTAATTTTACAATCAAGAAAACTAAGAGTTTATACCTGTATGTATAAATTAAGTAGAAGAGAAATATGAGATCTGAAAATGTGATCAATATTACATATTGTAAATTCCGAATGTCAGAAATGTCAGATATGTCAAAAATATTTGATATATCTGATATATCTAATATATCACCTATATCACATAAGTGTGATATATGTAATATATATAATAAATTAGATATATTCAATATACTAAACAAGTCCATAATGTAAATAGACAAGACAGTTTATTATAAATAAAGGGTAATTTACCTAGACAAAAGAGAAGAGATGACAATTTCAAAACAAAAACTACCTACCCAACCTATAAGTAAAGTGAAAGTGTTGCCCCATAAAGTCCTAGTAATCATTGTTAAATCTCAGTAATAATACTACCTCTCCCAAGAACAACCAAACCCGTAATTAAGCACTTGACATAGTCATATATCTGATAAACCAAAATGAAAGAGAAGAGCTCCAACTCTGATTCAACATAATGAAATCTTGGTTGAGACAAAAGAGAAAAAAAGAATTAGAACAAGAGTAGGTTGAAGAAAAAACTCAAAAGGAGAGACTAGTACTTACTTATAGATGATAATTCACTTGCCAAATCTAACATGTCTGTTTTAACTTAGCCACAGTAGATAATGCAAAAGTTGGAATAGTTTAGTGACAAACTTACTGAAATCTAAGATGACACTATAATATTTTTTAAATCTCTTAACTTTACTTCCTATTTGGCTAAACTATCTGCTTTTTTATTTTATTTATTGTACTTTGTTCTTTTACTTTAACTAATTCTAAATCTATTTTTTTGCTCTTATTGTATCTTCAATATTATCTAGCAAGTTAAACTTTTTATTTATTTTTGTTTATTCATTAAATATTGTGTATTGTCTCTTAAACTTGCTATAGCTGCTATACTATTTATATATATTTTGCCTTTTTTATTATTTAGCACTATGAGTATTATACTGTATATTAAATAGCTAGCAGTTTAGCTTTGGTTAAGAATAACTACCTATTCCTCTAATTAATCCTTTATTAATAATATTTTTTTTTATTGTCTACTTGTAGCCAACTAGCTCCTATGCTAACTATATTTTGTTTATTCTTGTTTTTTTTTTACTAATAATCCATCTGTGTAGAAGATTAACTTTTGGCTATGTGTATTTTTTGCAATTAGCATTTTGATAAGCTTGTTGCTAATTTTTTATTTCTTTATTAGCTCTATTTCTTTGCTTACTATTTTGATTTTTTCTACTTATTTTTCTAAACTTAAAATTTTAATTTTTTTTGTTATATATTTAGGTCTAATATATTCAAACTTATTACTAACTGCTATTACTCTTTTTTCCTAATGTATTTTAAAATAGAATCCTAAATTTTTGTTTTTTAGTTTTTTTTATACAACTATCAATAATATTAATCTAATTAAGTGCATAACTTTTGCATTTTTCTAATAATATTTTTTGGTTTTCTAGTTGCATTTTCATTTTTTAATATTTTATCTGTATTTTTTTTTGGTTTCTAGTAACTATTCTTGCTAATGTTTGTTCTTCTTCTTAAACTGACAAATTTTTAATGTGATTTTATTTTTTTTATTTTGTATCATTTGTTAGTTTTTCTAACAAGACTTCTATTATTCATTTATTTAGTGCTATAGTTCTAAACTTTGGTTTTACTACTCTATGCTTTGAATCCTCTAACATTTTTGCTTTTAGTTTTTGAAACTATTTAGTTTGTTTTTCTTTAACATTATTTTTTTTTAATAAACTTAGTTGCTTTTATATAATTATTTTGCTTTTTTTTATCAGTAAGCTTGTATACTAGAGCTATATTAAATTTTTTATGTGTATATGCAACTAATAAAATAAAGCTTGTTTCTAGTACTTTATGTATTTTCATACTGTAATTAGTATAAACTAAGCTTTTATAATTAAAATTTGAAATTATTTGTGATTTTTTTGCTTTAAGCATTGTTAGACATACTAAATTGTTTTTTCACAGTTTATTGCTTGCTTTTGAGAAGTTGTTATAATATGTGTTTTTTAATGCTTCTATCGACCAAAGCTCATCTTCTATTTTTATATTTGTTAATATCTCTATAAGGCCTGTTAAGTTAATTATTAGTGCAAGCTAATAATCTGTTTGAGTAACAGCTAATTTTGTAATAAGTTAAAGTTATACAAATTTTTATAATACATTATACTATTTTTTACTGATTTCATAATTTCTATTTTTTTCTTTTTTATTTTTATCACTAGCATGTATATATTGTTTATTATATTTTTTGATAACTTTGTAGTCTGTAGCATATAACTTAATTTAGATATAATACATATATTGTTAATATATAATAGTTGGCTAACTGTCAGTTTTTTTGAGTTCAGTTCTTATATAATTGTTCTTACAATTTCTTTGGCTTTTGTTTTAACTACTGAATTCTTTAATTTGTAGTTTAGAAATATTTTCAAAAATTATACTATTTTATCTTTACTTTCTTCTTGAATTTACTTTTTACCAAAAAAGATTGTTTTATCTTTTTTGATTGTTCAGTATTCATTATAATAAGTTTGATTTTTTTCTATTAATCTGTATATTATTTAGCTTGAAAAAGTCTTTTGCTATTATAATAATTTTTTTTATCTAATATTTACTTAATGCAATCCATATTTATTATTAGCAAATACTATTACAGTCTGCTTTCATTCTTTTTTTTTGCAAATTCAATCTTCCAATATTATTGTTTTGAGTGCTTATTTTATAATCTAGACTTGAATCATTTTGAATTTTTTTCAGAAGTAGATCACAAAAGATTATCTATATTAAAGATAATATTACTACTCCTTATTCAATTCCATTATTAATTTCAAATTTTGCTATTGTATTTATATCTGTAATAATTTTTGACTATCAGTTTTATATAAATTTAGAATAAAAGTAATTGCTATTTCTAATATTTTAATTCTTTTAAGTACTAAATCTAATGCTGTTAATAATACTGAGTCAAAAGCCTTTTTTATATTTTGCAATACTAACTAAAGCTTTTTTTTATTATCTTTAGCATCATTTATTATTATTATGTTTATAATATGTACTAGCTCTTTTGTTAAATCTTCTAGCAGGTCTGCAAAATTTGAATCTTTTAAAATGTTTTTTTTGGCAAATAATCTGTGCCAATCTCTTGGTAAATACTTTAGTTATGCATTTATGCATAGTCTTTAGCAATGCTATTGATCTTATATTGCTTAAGTTGTACTGCCAATTTAGGTCTTTTGGTATTGAGTATATTTGTGATATTTTTTATTTTTTCAGTATCCTTCCTGTTTGAATGCATATTTCCAATAGTTTTCTAAAGATTTCTTGTATTTGACTACTTGCTGTCTTGATTAATATATAAAACACCAAGTGCTATATTGCTCTTCAAACTTGATAACATTTCTAATACTTCTTCTTTAGAATATTTTGTTATACCAATCTTTATTAATTTTTTCTTTAGGTTAATAAAGTTTTTTACTCTTCTCTAATTCTTTGGCTTTAGAAATTTTGTACCCAAAATTGTTGCAAGAAGTCCTTTTAGTTTTTTTTAGTACTTTGCATAGATCTGTTATAAGTACTTTAATTAGATCTTTTGATTTGATAAGTTTATCTTTTTGATCTTCTTGATTTATTTGTTTAATATACTTGTTAACATTCTTTCTTACTTTCTATTAATTATTTGACATCTCTTTTCAATATTCTGTTTAATTTTTTTTGTTCTTTGTTTTTCTAATTTTTCTGCTTTTCTCTTATATAGAATCTTTTATTAGTCTTTTAAGTTAGTAATTATCTTTTTTGTCTATGTCTTTAAAATTTTTCTATATTAGTTTCATAATGTTATTTTATATATTTGATTGTATCATTAATTATCTTTATATTTTCTGATACTAGATTTAATTTAATTTTTTTTTTTTAAACTAATCTACTTTTCTAGCTGTAATAATGACTTTATTAAATTTGACTTTTTTCTTTTTATTGTTTTTTTTTATTGGTAAGAAGTATTTAGTATTTTCTTTTTTAAAAAATGTCTTTCTTGTCACTTTAAGGATACTTCTGCTTATATCTTCTTATCTTTCATTCAGGTTTTTTTATTTTTCTCTAAAATTTGTAATGTTTTTTTCTGTTTTTTTTTAAGTTTTTGTTTTTAATCATATAATCTAACTCTATTCTATAATCTTTCTAATCTTCTTTATATGCTTTTTCATACAGAAAAACTGTTCAATATTGTTTGAATTTTTTAAGCTTTGAGGTTTTGTGCAATGCTACTAAGTAATTTAATTCTATTCTTGCAATAGCTGCACTATAGTCACTATTTGTATAATTAAACATGTCTGGGATTTTTGCATTAATTAGACTATTTGCTAATTTATTAACTATTCAAATTTAGGTAATTCTTGCACTTGATTCACTATTTGTTTATAAGCACTTTTTGCTTTTTAAATTTTTTAGTTTAAAAGAGACTTTGAATTCTTATTTAATTAACTAATTTATAACTGTCTTTTTTTGAAAATCTTGCTTCTTGTTATGCTAAATCGATCTAGCTCTAAATTAATAATGCATAGATCTTTTATAATAATCATTTGTGTTTTGTATAACCTTCTAATATATTTTTCTATATTTGCTTTCTAAATTTTTTTATATTT